AATCCAGCCCGCACTGTGAGATCGGACCTGGTCGATCAGCTATAGTTTACACCTAGCGCAAGCTTAATTTGAGTAGTTTTATTCGCTGCCTCTTCTTTCGATAACTTCTATACCCACCGGGTCACCCGTCAGAAACGTCTGCTCTGCAATTCTGAACTGGGACTAACGATTGAATAGTACCTATTGTCAGCTTACGAACGTCAAGCTACTAGCTGTTATCAATTGACCCCGCGTTGATTCTGTGGCGAAGCTGTAAGTGGCACGAAATGGAATAGCGGTCCTTTATGATGGCGGCGATTTTTTCCGAAGTATTTTCTTAAGCACGAACATGAACTAGAAGATCGTGTCTGACCGTTACCTACAATAATATTGATTGTACGAAACTTTTGCCACTAAGCTACTGAGATAGGTGTCAATACACTTAGTGGTAACAGGACAAGAAACCAACAGGCCTGCCGAATACTCGATGGCCAGATTTCAGAAAGCTTCGGTGACGCGGCAGCCTGCAAGGCACGCCAAACAAGCAATATTGTGTCCTTTGGAGACCAAAGAAGCTTCTTGGCATCAAAGATGACGACAGTATTAGTGTTTTACGAAAAGAAAATACGCCTTGAGAATGTCAAATAAAAAGATTGAAAAATCCATAGCCCCAGAAAAGCTGTTACAATCAGTGAATAAAGATAGTAGAACAAGGAGAACAGAATGACGAAGTCGACATTGTTAACCAATAGTAGACCTGTATTCGAAGTTCAAGACTAAGTATCAACAAATGGTACCCAGACAGCCATAGCAAATAAGTTCATTGCAAAGCAGAGAATTTTAGCGAAAAAACCTAGCCATCTCGAAATGCATATCCTATTTATATGGTCTATCAAGACCAGTCCCCAGACAGTCTTACGGAGTTGAAAGAACTCATACATCAAGTATACATACTTTTGACGATACTAGCATTTATATGACGTAGCTTGCGCTCGACCAGCCGGCTCTCTGCCGCAAAACAAAGGGGCCCTTAAGCTCGCTTGGAGCATGAACATGAAAATAGACAAAAGCGTAGATACACCTTCAAACTTGGCAAGTGTTAAAGCAGTGTGAAGATAAAGCTATAGACGCTACATCGATGAAATAACTGCGCGCCTCCTTAACCTTAAGAGGAACGGATCAAGGGCAAGACACACGGCGATCCAGGAACACGAACGAGAAACCGCAAGAAGACACCGCGGTGCCCGACAACTAGCTATAAAAGCAGTGACTTCTATTCTTACTTATTGCTCTACGGCATATATAAACGTACGTGAAACAGAGCACGAAGCAATGGCGGCATTGAGCTTGATGATAATCACGAGAACTGCAAAGTCTGCATGAAAGGAAAATACGCGAGGAGCTCCTACGAAAGCAAATGCAAGCCTACACTCACAGATTATCCACGGATAGCTTATGTAAATATATGCTTTTCATCGACAATTCTTTGCGAGGCAAGACGCACTTTTCTGCATAAGGTAAACAAATACGGTGTATCTTTTAATGGGAAAAACAAGGCTGCGGACTGTGTTCAACTATTCATCAACTAATTGAGAAACCAGACGGGTAAACCGACGATACATTCTCGTAGGAACTTTGACAACTTTAAAATTCAAAAAAATGCCTTGGTGATATAAAGCATAGCGCATATACATTATAGCTAAAAGGATAAGACAGGAATAGATTAAGCGGCCGCTACAATCGACGCAAGGGGAAAGGTTGCTACTAAATGGTACCGCACTCGACAGCTATAAAAGTGATTGTGAGACAGCAGTACAGTCACTAGGATGCTGAACAAACCTACAGGCTATTCCCATCGCCCCAAAATAACAATAGTATAAGAATATCTGCGGGCTATAGCAGTCAACTGCTGCGCAACGTTAAATTGCACAATCGTTAATGAATGTACCGATAAAACGCCACACGATGTCCTGTATAAACGTAGACCGTATTTAGGGAAATTGTACCACTTTGGCATGAAACGTTGTTGCTATAGAAGCAGGCGCAACAGTCAAATTAAACTTGCGAAGTAAGCCTGATATAATGATCGGATTCATAACGAGGATAGTCTCAGTTATTGTTTCGTTGACTTGATGACCGATAATATAAATCAAGCTAAGAACATTAAGTTCCCTCAAAAAGGGCATCTTCAAGTGATAAATAGATAGGGATGACAGCACGTATAACTGTTGTGACGTAAAGATTGTAGTAAGCGATTTACCGAAACGTGAACAATCAGGTGTTGCCCTGAACGATGAAACAATTCACAGCCCTAACGGCAGCAGTGTAGGAAGCCCCCGAACCGGAAAACACCGTAAACGCAGAGTGAAACAACAAATATGTTCGCCCATATTGAGCCAGCTCATGAGCGAAGAGAATTAAGACAAGTAAAGCCGAACCGAAGTTTCTCCGCAGGTGCACTGCCCGAACGATTAAGACATTTAAAACAGAATCGCTCGGATAGATCAGACAGAGCTATGCACTCCAGTAACAGAATTCAATACAACAGGAATCATATTAAGTGTAGCCACGACATAGCAAGAAACTAGCAGCGTTGCCCTCGACTTGAACGCTTTTCTTATACATCAAGGGCAGACGAAATCTGCAAGATAGCTAGATCTGATAGTTAGATAGATAGATCTGATAGATAGATAGATCTGATTGATAGATAGATAGATCTGATAGATAGATGGATCTGATAGATAGATCTGATAGATAGATAGATAGATCTGATAGATAGATAGATAGATCTGATAGATAGATAGATAGATCTGATAGATAGATAGATAGATCTGATAGATAGATAGATAGATCTGATAGATAGATAGATAGA